TCACACCGAGGGGCACAGCCTGGGCTTGGTGCCTTCCAGTAGCGCTTCTCTGGGCTCTGAGACTCCCCTCCGAATGCTTAACATTGAATTAAGGGAAGGGCTTTTTTCTACAAGATTTTTTTTGTTGTTTGTTTTAATTACGGAAAGAAAACGTTAAACTCTGCTTTACCTTTTTTTCCCTCTCCTGAGAGATCCTGGAAGCCTCCAGGGGAAACGTGCCAACTTAAACCCTGCACGGGCAATGCCAGACACGGGAAACGTTCCGGATAGCGCAGAACTCTCACCCATTTCTCAGCCGTGGCCTGTGATATTTGCTGAACACCCTTCAGAGCACAGCACGGGTCCTGCTGCTGCTTGTAGCGTCGGGAAGGACTGCTGATAGACTTGGCCTTGGGGGCAGCAGCTGTCCAAAGCAGGGGTTTGTGGTGGGCAGTCGGTCACAGGACCGCTGTAGGAATACAAGGGCTTCTGTCGGCACGCTGTGCAGACACTAATCACACTTTTTCCTCTATATCTGAAGAACAGGTGTAGCAATATTAGCAAACTCCTCAGGTGAATTGGTGCACAGGGCTGTTGGTCTTTCCAGACAGAACTTGCTATGGAAAGCGCTTCTTGTCAAGATTTCTGTAAAATGCCACAAACAGAAGTGTTAATACTTTAAAAATTCCTGACGGCATGCCAGTGTTGGGCAGAAACCTTTAGAAACACCACGCAAGATACTATGAAAGTGTATCCTTGATTTTTGCAATACTGTATTCATTCACCAGTGTTTGACACCCTCCCAGCTTTTCCTTTCCCAATGCAACTCTTTCTGCCTCCTGTTACATTTGAGGGTTCATGAAGCAGTGTTGCCACATCCCAGTTGTGGCCTCCATGGTTCTTTTTTCCTTTTTCCTGTAAGAGCCTTCCATAAAAGTCATTAGAAGGCCGCATGTGCACACAGGAGGCAGAGAAGGGCTGAACAAAGTCTTGCTGCAGACCCAAAGTGCCTGACGCTTCCCATAACCTCTCTTGGTGTAGATCAGAAATCCAGTGTTCAGTATGACTGGAATGAGCCCTGCGCTTAATTGCCCTTTTCTGTTGGTTTAGGCTGTTGTCTTGTGTGCTTATCTGGACATGGGAGGCATTGATCTCCGGGAGCGGTCTGTGATTGAGCTGGGAGCTGGAACTGGATTGCTGGGAATAGTGGCCACGTTATTAGGTAAGTGCTTTTTTTTTTTTTTTTTTGGAAAGCAATTTACAACTGTAGTAAAACTAGCACTTTTACATCTACATGCCTGGTATAGAAGTTAACACCAAAGCTAGGTATGTGAACTGTGATATTTCCTGTCTGAGTCGTCTTCCTTTCTCGTTAGACTTCAGAGCCTGCTGTGCAATGTATTGTAGTGATGGTGCCCCTGCAGTTTACTTTATGGTGGGACCTTGTTAAGGCTGACGCCTGTTACTATTGTACGCAGCTCAGCAGCGTTAAGTGCGGCAGCTGTTCTTCCCGAAGGGAGTGAGGGAGTGCTTGTGGTCTTCCACTTGTCCTTGTATGCAGCAGATAAACCTACGGACAGAAACCACTCTTGGAGCTTATGTAAGCCTTGCTAGCCTATCTTGTAGACAGGGAACCCAAGGTCTAGAGAAATGAAGTGATTTGCCTGTGATCTGTGTGTGGCTGAGGCAGAGACTGGGTGCTATGTTAAATTTGCACTGCCTCAGGTTAAGTTTGTAATTCAAAGCTCTAGCAGCTGTGGAAGATGCCTATTGAAATAATAAAAACAAAGCAGTTTGACAAAACACAACCCTGCCATGCAAAATCACACAGGCGTAACTTCTGTCTGACCTGTGAAAGAGGCTCTGTAGGCTGCCTCTCTCCTACTGAACAAATGCGGAATTGGAGCAGGTTAATTGTAACAATCCCTGGAAATTATTCTCTTGTCACCTATGGAAAGGCAGAAAAGTAACTTCTCTACTCTCATGCACTAAGAAAAAGCTCCAGAAAGTACTTTTTGTTCCCTACCCAACTTAATTTTCATGAGGAATAGATTTGATATTCTTAAGTGACTGGTGAAGGGTAGGATGTATGTAGATAGTGGGCTTTTTGCTTGTTTTGTTCTTTTGTTTGCTTTTAATCAGGCAGCTTAGGGGAGTTGTTAGTGTTTATCAGGAACCAAGGATCCTGCCTGACTTAGAGCATTGTATTCTAAATGCTGTATTTGTGGAGATGGACTGTGTGTCTGAGACATATACTCTTGTACCACTTAGGTGCCCGTGTTACCATCACAGACAGGGTGGCAGCACTGGAGTTCCTGGAGTCAAACGTACAGGCTAACTTACCTTCTGAACTACGTCCGAGAGCTGTGGTGAAGGAACTGACCTGGGGCAAAGACCTGGATAACTTCCCTCCAGGAGCATTTGACTTCATCCTGGGCGCAGACATCGTTTATCTGGAAGAAACTTTTGCAGACCTGCTTCAGACGCTGGAGCACCTGTGCTCAGAACAAACTGTGATTCTTCTTTCCTGTCGTATCCGCTATGAACGGGACCACAAATTCTTGAAGATGCTGAGAGGCCGTTTCTCTGTGTATGAGGTCCACTATGATTCCAGTAAGGATGTTCATATCTACAAAGCACAGAGGGGTAGTCGCAAGGATGACTTTTGACTCTGTGCTTTGTTAGTAAACCACTGATGCTGTTCAATACTCCCCTTGTTTCCACTCAATACACTTGTTCCTAAGCATATAATTGCAGTTGTGTTATTTCACTGGCTTCTTGTTGTGATGGTCTTGTCTGATCACTTGGGCTGACACAGCAAGGGTGGTACTTCTGTCCTGCTTACTGAATCTCTGCTTCATTTCTCAGTAGAGTTGCATAGGCTCTTCCACTGACTTCTTTATCAAATGTAGTTTTTGAAACGGATTTAAGTTGCAGAAATCTCCAGGCATCAGAAATGTCATCCGAAGCTCTGTTGTTTAAAATCAAACCACACTTAATTTCTGTGGGAAAATTAGAAATAGAGTCGGGTTTTTTCCCCCCTTATCACTTCCTTAACTCTAGAAAAGTAAGTGGATGAAAGATAAGCTAGGACACCAGCTCTAAATGCTTCAACTCTTCAGGCCCTATGAATCTTAAAAGTCATGGTGAAAGAAGCCATTTAAAGGGCAAAACCAACAAAAGCAGCAGCTATAAAACTGTATTGCTGTCACTGTTGCATTGAAGAGGCACAGGGAAACAAAGCACAAGATCTGTATAGGGGATGGGTTGGGAATCAGTATTGCAGAGTAAGCCAACGTAGGAATCAGTGGTGTTTTTACCTGACTTGCAAGCATGGAGGCTACGCCTGCAGTACCGAAGCAGCCGTGGTTCTTGGGTTGTCCCTTACAAGGTAACTTCCCCTCGCACAGATCAAGGCTCCTTGGAGGAGATATGCTTGCACATGTGCCAGCAGGGAAAGGCAAAACAAGGGGACTCAAACTGCTCTTCAAACATCCAATCAGTCCTTGACTCTCAAAGTGCTGCTACATAGTGTTCTACTTCCTGCCTTTGTGGCTCACTGCTGCTGAGCGCTGTTATTTAGGAAGGGAGGGTGCTGCTGTGAAGGCTTGGTAGCTGGGGGAGTACCTCAGTTAACTCGGGACCTTGGGGCAGTGTCTAGGTGTCAGTGTGCTTTCTGTGCACAGTGGTAGTTAGATGCTGTTCTAAGTAAAAAATTTCATGCCTTGAGCTTGTAAAAACACCTGTGTGTGTTTATCCCACAAGATCCTATGTGAAAAATGCTGCAGCCTGGAATCCGGCTCACACCAGCAGCAGACTTCCTTCACTTCCTAGTGGTGGGAGAATGAAACTGGTGAAAACAATGGCCTAACAGAAGACAGCTACACTTCTAAATGCAGGAATTGCTATAGTACTTTTTTTTGGTGGATGCGGAACTTATTTTTTCTTTAAAATTAACTTACCAAGCCCCAGGCCAGGTTCAGGCTTTAAGGGTGTGCATGTTTCTGGCACCAGGACCTGCTCTTCAGTCCATGGATGTTAGGAGCTCTTTATCACTATCCTCTAACTTCCTAACTGGAAGTGATGCAGAGGGTCTGTGGTCCAGAAGTGATGTGCAGGCTGTAATCTGGAAATGACACAGTTATCACAGCTTCCATGAGGCCCAAAGGAACCTGTGCTTCATCCCAGACACGTCCCTGGTGCTTTTTCAGCTAAGTTCCTTGCTTGGCTCTGGACTTGGCCTGGGCGTTGCTGCTCTAAACATGCGCTTACCACAGTATCCTCAGAAGCCACATGGTGTCACTAAAACAGTGTGTAGACTGGGAATCGGCAGTCTGGAACCGGAGCTGAAATCCCTTTGAGGGAAGGGAGATGGCACCTTTAATTAAAAACAGAACATGATATGAGCTTTAATGTGCCAGACAGGGCTTTTTCTGTCCTATCAACAGGGTGAGCAACAGTTGAAAAAAATTACAAGCTCTCCCCACTCTTTCTGGCTCTAGTTTTTGGAGTGTGGCTGCAAGTTCTCACCACTCCTCTTCCTTTTCCTCCCCACTGGTGTTTCCTTGTCTCTCAGCTGGTCTATGGTCACTGTATGTTAGGCTCCCCCCTGGGGTTGGAGCCAGCAGAAAGTGACTTGGTGCGTGGGGAAGGCCTGCTACCTGGCTGTGCTTGGCCCTGGCAAGAGGCTGCAGCTTGTGTTGTTGGCATAGTGGAAACATGCTAAAAAAGCCTCCTAGAATAGCAGAGAATAAAGCACAGTGTAGTACAGAATAAAACCTAGTGCAATAAAACCTACATACTTTTGCAAAGTGGGCTTTGCTTTGATAGTAGGAAAAGTTTTGTACTTTTAAAACACATCAGTTTAATTGCATCTAATTGCTTAGCAGCTTTCAGCGTCTGTCTTCCCATTGCTGCTGTTGCAGCCCGTAGCCTTCCTGCGAGAGCAGACGTGTGCTGGGAGAGACCAGGCTTGGCTTCTTTTGCTGCGCTGCTGTTGCATGGCAGCTGTATACAGACCCAAGGGAGCACATCTGAAGGCTGAAGAGACGCTCCTGCCTGTACGTAAATACTTGTGGAGGAAGGTGTGAGATGACACTGGCAGCTCAGGTGAGTGTCTTGTATCTGACCTGCAGAACTGAGCTCTTGGCGGTCCCTGCCCAGCTCAGCAAGTGGCACCCCTCAAGGGGACACCTCCTCTGCTACTGGGGTGCAGGTTCTCCTTTAGATTCAGGGGAGCAGACCCAGGAATATTGTGGTTAGGCCACCACTGTAAGCATATTAGTCCTGGCTGCTTTTTAAGCTAGTGTTTAGGGGAAGGCACCAACTGTGAGAACGTACGTCAGCTGAAACCAAGAGCCGATTCAACCCACCTGCACCACCAGCAGTGCCTTCTGTTGTCCCAGGCTGGGCTTCGCAGCTTTTTCACATTCCCATCACACACAGCTTCAGGGGGATGTTGGGCGTGAAGCACTCCAGATGTGCAAGACAGAAGTAGCAGCTGCCCGGTGAGTGAGCAACACAGAGCAGCCATCCCAAGCTCCGGTGTCCCTACCCATCGGTCCCAGGTGAGCTTCAGCTCTAGCAGGAGATGACGCATGGTAATGCTTCAGCGGCTGTTCGGCAATTACATGAGCACCCTGCCCGAGCGCCTTCTGTCACCCTGTTCATCCCGGTGCTAGGGAAGTCGGCGTGACTCTCCTTTGGGTGGTTCCATTGCATTGGTCCCGTTTTGCAACAAATGATGTGAACTCATCCGTAGGGAGGCTGCGTTTAAGCACGGGTCTCCGAGTAGTGGGGCAATGCACAAACAGCCTCTTGAGAAATAAAATACCCCAGGGAGAGGATCCAAGTCACAGGGAGGTGACCAGATAAGACATGAACACGCTGCGGGATTGTGAAACCATGCCTGAAACATGCCATTCTGCAAGGGAACAAACTTTTCTAAAATGGCACCGCAAATACAGTCACATTTGATTAATAAAGACACTGAGTATGAAGTTCCTCTCTCTGGCTTATGGACAAAGACCGTCAAGGTGCAGCAGTGTCGGAAGAATCGCGTTTACCAGCTGACCTACTGACTGCACAGGGATCTGTGTTGCCCAATTCTTCAATGCAAAACTCAAGCCAAATTGCGTATTTCTCTCAGGTACTAACCTCTCTTTGGGATTCTCCCTCACTACTGAGATGCAGATTTTTCTGAGCAAGTACATGAATGGCATCATGAAAACGCTCAGTTGTGAACACCACAAAATCCCAGCCATAATGAGCTGACCTTGCTGCTTCCCCTGGGTTTCACTGGAGGTGTGTTTACCTCGGCACCGAATTTGTTCTCCTGGCTTTCACCCCCGTGTTTGGATCCAGCCTGACAGATTACATAACTGGGTTGCGATCCTTGCAGTGTTTGCTGCCTTCTGTTCTGCTCTGTTACTAACATCAGTGGTACGTGGTATACAGGAATGCTTGGAAGTGGGAAAGACAGCATATTGAAACTGTGAAAGGGAAAAGTCTTTCACACATTTTTAAACAACAGACCTAGAACCAACTGCCACCAGAATGGATACTGGAAACCAGGTTTAAAAATATGAAAGAGAAACTTCGCTTTTTCAGGATTTAACCTCTCACTAATCTAATTCATTTAAATTAAGATTAAAAAAGTTTTCCCTTTGGAAAAATGAGTACTTACAGCAGGCCATAAGATCATGAGAGGACACCACAGTCTTCTTAAAATATGCCTTTTCCCATATTCGTATCTGGCTATCAGTTGCCACTAAATTAGTGTAAATGGAACATCCTGCTCAAAAAAGAGACTTTGTAGAGTTTTTTTAAAGCATGTTTATGTGTCTGCACATAAATGTTTGTGTAAAAAGGGAGTTATGACAGTTTATACCACAAAGGTTACAGTAAGAAAAAGCACTTTATGACAATAATTCACAAATTCACAAGAATCACTTTAATATACAAAGCAATTACTACCATTCTGAAACACAAAGCAGCTAATATGTACATAGTGTTAATAAAATGCATTATAACCCAGTACATTTTTTTTAAAAACACAGATAAAGCACAAAAAAAAAAGTAAAAAAAAAACCAAAACCCAAAAGAAAAACCAAACAAAAAAACCCAAACCCAACACAACAGGGATGTTTCTAGACTTTTGGGGAAATGTAAATAAGAATTAATTTTCCCCCAGTAATGTACTTTCGTTTAGTCTTTTAAGTTCCGCAAGTATGTGGAAGTTGAGCTCAAATACCCTGTTCTGTGCTGACATGGTTTAGGTGAAGAATCAGAAAATGCAGATGAGGTGAACTTACTCTTTCCAGCTTACATTACAAAGGGAAAATAATAACCCTCGCTCTGGAAGCTTCCCTGAACAATGTTTCTCCAAAACAATTTCAAATTATAAATCCAGATTTTTGAAGTGAACAACCAATCTTTGGACAACTCTGCGGAAGGGTTGGCTGCCAACTAGCGCCTCTTCTTGTCCCGTTCCCCATCCCATCCCCAGAAGTCCATACGAACAGCACAGTTTCAAATCTCATACAAACTCAAAGTTCTAGAACTCTTTAAAATTAATGTTTTAATATAAATAAATGTCATTACACACAAAAAAAAATGGAGTGGCACCTGGATAAAACACAACTTGTGAAGAGCATCCCAACATCCTTAGTTCTTGAAAGCAGCCCTTTCCAGCTAACCAACAGGCTCAAGGCCTGCCTTCCCCGTGCTCTCACCAGCTATCCCCTAATTTAGACAATACAGAACTGAGGCCAAGCCTGAGAGAACTGACCGCTCCCAAGTCGTGAGGACAGTCAGCGGTCAGCTTACGAAGCGCGCCCACTACGGATCATTACAGCCCATCCCTGGCCCTTTCCCTGCCGGCACACAGCTCACTTCTCCAGCCTCGCTGGGGAAAGCGAGACCCGAGCTCCCCAGGTACGCAGCAAGTCCCGAGCTGCACTCGCACCACCAGAACGCAGACAGGCCACTGTCTCCAATCCCTGTTAGGCAGACTAGCCCCCGCAAGTCGCTCTGTGGGCCAGAGCTTTTGAAAAAACGCATTCCAAGGCGAAACACTTGAAATGCAGACCCTCTTTACGAACTGGATCTGGTCCCTCTTCCCCAAAGATGTACAGATTTAAGCCATATCCATCCACAGACCTGAACCTGCCACAAGCCCACAGCAGACAGGATTTCAGCAGCCTGTCTCTCTTCATCAGTCTGGCTCCTCCCAGACCAACCCAGCTTCGGGATACATTCAGGTTTCTGCAAAATCAGTGTCTTGTCAAAATCAGCTAGCAAATTCAAAAGCTCAGGGAAACGAGTTCCCAGGCACAGCACAGAGAACCATCAATCTGCTGCATGCTTTTAAAACCTGCTCACAGTGGCAGATTTAAGGGTTATAGCTACATTATCATTGTTCCTGCAAAAGAAAGGTGGTTGTGCTTTTTTTTAACCTTTTAAAGCAGGGTGACACACTGTCAATGTACCTCTACTTCCTGGTGTCAAAGAAATGGAAAACCTTTTGATTTATTTTCTTGGAATGCAACTTATAAGATCTGAAGCCAAATCTCAAATTAAGAAAAGGGAAATAAAGTGGCTGAAAAACAGTTTAGCTTTCCTTCCAAATTAAACCTCCCTCTCCCACTTGGGATCACTGAACTAGTTCTATTCTAAAAATAATTTCAGATCTATCCTGTACATACTGCTTTGAGACACCACACACCGCATTCTTTCCAGTCTCCAGCACCGCCGGTTCGGATCTCCTGCCACTCTGAAGTCACGCCTGCCGGATGCCAGTGCTAATCAGCAAGTTAAACTGGCGAGGGAGTCAGCTGCTGGGGGGAGAGGAGCGGATCCTGCACAGGCAGCAGGATTACAACAGTTCTGCCAGGGAGCTTCTCAAGCAAACCCAATTGCTCTCCATCTTTTCTTTTAAAAAAGTGCACATTTTAATTAGACATTTACAAGGAATATAGTGTAACAAAAATAAATACATGACCTTTTGGTTAGATCATTGGCAAATGTTACATCACTAACCAGCTTCAGGGTGAAAAAAATGACAAAATCAGGGTCGTAGAAAATGAATTAAATCCTCTACGAATTGTCACAGATTTGCAACCACTGATAATGAACTTGCTTTGATGGGAAGATTTGCCTTTACTTTAAGCCACAAGGAGCACTGGCTGTCTGTCATAAATTAAAAACCATAAAATGAAAAAGCAGAGGCCAGTTTTCGCTAACAGATGACTACTTGCAGTTGCAGCCTACTGGAAACCCAGTTTTAAAACTGTAGCACAAATTTAGATCAGAAACTATCAGGGCTGTTTTCCTTATTAAATCTAACTTTTTTTCCTGAGCCTCTTAATGATTCCAAACACCCCACCAATTTTCTGATGAATGTACAACTAGCAGAGAAGACTGCAAGGCCAACACCAGAGAAGTCTGCAAGGCCAACACCAGCTACCTCACAGCCAGAACCTACAGTTGTCCTTACAGTCCTGATGAGCGTGACAGGCTGAAGTTGTGCTTTTGGAGACAAGCAACGGTGCTGGCAACTACCTGAATATGGTGAAATCACTGCTTAAACACAAATCCATCGCCACTGTCCCCAGAGGAAAATGGAAGTCTTACCAGTGGTTCCTTTAGAAAATAACATCTTAACAACCTTTCCAATTCTTTTTTGCCTTTGATATATAGCTGCCAAAGAGAAAAAGCACAAACCCGAATTATTCTAGGGGGTGGTGATGGTTATAAAACAACTCTTTATGCAATTTCAAAAACCTCCATCCATAAAAAACAAAAACAAACCTCACAAAAGCCATGAAAGATGAAATAAAGTTCTTGAAAATGGATAACTGAGAAACAGCACAAAACAAATCAGTAATAAGCGCTAGAATAATGCAGCCCAGAACTACTGGGGCAGGGGAAGCTTTCACACGCGCGCACACATCCACACATACCCAGACACACACAGAAAAGTAAAAATTTTTTCTGACCTCCATATACT